TGTAGGTGCTACAAGGTGTAGGTGCTACAAGGTGTAGGTGCTACAAGAGCTACGCTCTACTATTTTTTTCCGTAATTCTGCGTCGTAGCATTGCATGATTTTATTATTTTGCAATTTTAGAAGTGAAAGTCTGTAGATGTCGTCGTCGTTGTCTTAGAAGCATTACACTTTATGTCTATAATAAGAAATATATTTTGGTTAAAGAGCCCAAATTTATGAAATTTATAGATAATAGCTTAAAACAGCGCTTAGTATACTCGTATACTTACTTATTTTATAAGTCTCTTAGTATTAAATATAAAATATGAAATATAAAAATAATAAAAAATATTTTAACTGACATTTTATTTATTAAAAGCACTTTGTACTACAGTTAACTTTTGAAAAATAAATGCGTATTAGACATACCTAATCGTACTGGTTCTAAAGTTTTTTTGAACACGGTTCACCTCGCAACTTTGTAGACCATGAACTAATAGCTCAATTGCTTAACGAGGTTTAATTATTTAATATATTAATTTATTATAATTGTTCACTTAGTTACATGCCATCTTAAGTAACATACATACATACTATCTCGCCTGTTTCTAACTGTTTCCAAGAGGTCGGCAATGCTATGAATTTCCATTCGCTCATAATTTATTTTAAACATACTTTTCACCTGTGGCCGCAGTATGGCAGAATATTATGTGTGATATACCACCTCGTGACAATATTTAATTCAGTTGATTAATCTAAGTTTGCTTATTTGGTAATTAACTATTATTATACATTGTGAAGAACAAGGACAACGATATAAAATTGCGTATATGTCGTATTTTCTTTTTTTTATCTTAATGATTGCTTGTGAGAATAATTTATTGTCTCAATTCCGCCAGTGTCCGTTACGTGTTAGTTTCATAAACATAATGGAGGGAGTGTACATATATAGAAAGTACGTTCGGTGACTCAGAGGGAGCATCGAAGAGATTTATGCACAAGCTGATCCCTAGAACAAAAGAAATGACACACATTAGACAACACACATCGGTACTAACAATGTATAATATTTAAGTACAAATATAGTGTTAATATATGAACAATATTTACAATTTAATTATGATTCACATGAATAAATTTACAGAGAATATGATATATTTTTGGGTGAGAGGACAGAGACAAAGGGCATTTAATGGAAGTAGGACAAGGAATAGAAGGAGGGAAATTGTCATACAGGGAATATCGTAATTTGGTACAGTCAAAGAATATATGGTCCATGTTTCTTTCATCTAACCAACACTCACAGAATTAGTTATTCCTAATCCTTATTATAGCCAGATGAACGGGAGTACACGCGTGACCCAAATGAAGGCAGCATATTGTTGATGTAGTTTCTTTATTTGCTGAACGGAGTTTGAAAAACGAAGGGACTGTGGGAATTTGAGGCTGAATGTTCGCAAAAAATTTTTTTTTTAATTTTTGGGATCTGTCTCAAAACTTTGACCAACGATCACAAAGGCGGGCTTTTGGAAGTAAGCAAATGTGGTGGGAGAACAAGTTCAAGTGTTCCGTAGATCCAATGCGAGAATCCAATTTGGAACAGCAAATGTTTGTTGTTTAATCATCGCGCAAAAACGATGACACAAAAAATGACAAAACTACATTTGCTTATTTTGTAATAAACTATTGTTATACAATTTGAAGAACAAGGACAATGTCGTTTAATCATCGCCGTGAAAACCATGAAACAAAAATACCTTTTCATTTCGCTTATCGCGCTCAATTTTCACGTTGGAAAAATTAATGCGCAAATGTTTTAAAATCAACTGTGACCTTGCAGCCGTGTTTGGCACTGTGTTAATCTTTTGCAGTCATTAGTTGCCGGCGCTCGCGATGACATAAAAATGTGACGTCACGGTACTCGCCATGTTCTCTATTATGATAAAATTTTAAAATACCGGTTTATCACTCAAATTTGACAGCTAAATGTAGATATAATAGCTTTATCGAGTCGGCATACTACGGGGACTGGTCTTTATTAGTTAATCAATATGAACGCCGAAGTTAACCTTTCTCTGTCTATCCCATGTTTTGATAAAGTAAATGAAAGTCTTGTGATTGAAAATGTACATTACATTTAAAATACGTTTGTATATTCTCTGAATACCTTATCCTTCGACGACACAGAAACATGTAGATTGCAGGATTGACTTATCAAACAAACGTAATATTCCCTTGATGAGGTTTTTAATAGTAACATTTCATATAATTTATTTTATTGTATTCAGTTCCTATTCAGTACCTATTTTGAATTTATTACCATAAATTATAATCATTATATACTTTTTCCTATAACAAAAAATACAAAACAATCATGAGACCGATGATAGAACTATATTGACTGTACAATATATAGTCGAATAAAATACATAACAATGTAAAAATATGTTGTAACTATGTAACAAAAACAATGATCAAGCTATCAATGATAATTCATCAATAGAGCGTAAACAAATGACAATTGCATGCAGGTGTCCTCAAATTGACAATCAATAAATGTCGACTGTCAATCATACGTATAATGCATAATTAATCGATACAATGCCATTTTGTAATTGCAAATTGATTGGGGTTTAACCCTACTACTTGTCAATATTTTAGATGCTGAAGCTTTATGATAACCCCATACAAAACGAACAATACATTTACTGTGAACGTAGAGATGTAGCTATGTTGTATTATAGTTTGTTTTAAATGATAGATTAAAGTGAATTCCATAAAGATATTGACAATCAATACATGTCGATTGTCAACCACGTAATGCTTCGATGCAATACTCTTTTGCAAGACTTTTAATGTATACAAATTTTTAATGTAATAAATTACATTAAAAATCCATAAAGTAATTTAATTACCTCAAAAATAATTTCATTCATTTTTTTTGTAGTGGCGTGGGTCACCTTTTTCGTGTGCTACCACTAATTGAGACTTTTGTATAATACCAAGTGACGGGGCGTACAAATAGTACGCCTGGTGAAAAGCGACACGCCTATCTATAACAGTTGCAGTGCCACTCAGAGCTTTAAATCGCAAAGATGTTAGGGGCACTGCCACTGCGCCTGTCACTCCGAGACATAAGTTGACAAGACCTATGTGCCTGTAATGTCACCAGCACTCTTACCCTTTCAAACCGGAACGCAGTTACGCACACATTACTGCTTGGCGGCAGAAATAGGTAAGGTGGCAATACTTCCCTGGACCAGCTCTTTCTCAAGGAGCTCTACTGCTACTAAAAACTGTGTGTGTGTGTAGTGTTTGTACTGGTAGAGGGAGAGGAGAGGGAAATATTTTGTTGGCATGTGGTAGTTTGTACCTTACACATCTGAATGTCCACATAAACTTTCATATAGTATATGAGACTGCTCACACTTTAATCTTTTCATATTCTAGGTTTTTCTGTTTCCCAGAGTTACCAGCTTCATTTTCTAACATTATTTTGTAATGTTTCATAAATGCACACAATCAATTATCTACACTATATGATACGAAAACCCTGTACAAACGCTTAAAAACAACTGAATATAATAATATAATACGTTCTTCTGGTGCCCCAACAGAATTAAAATATGATGTAGAACACCACGACCGTAAAATAAAATACAAAATAGACAACATCGGAAAGACTTCACGCAACAAATTCTAAAGCTAAATCTAGGACTATTAAAAATGAAACTCTTCAAAGTAATGACGAACGTTGCAACAGAAAGAAATAAATTCAAAAGCGGGTAGAAACAGTGTTACAAGTTGGATATATCTTCTTGTGTCGGCGGGTAATGCTATTTCCGAGAAGCGCCCGCGGTTATCCGAGAAAAACACGTAAATCCTATAACATAGTCTTTTATGTTTTTTGAAGATACATAATTCAATATCATCTACACTACGTCTTCCGGTACGGTTTTGTATCATTTGTAATATTAATAGCACTAGAAAGTGAAAGAGTTCGTCCGGGGAAGTACTGCCGCTTTACCTATTTCTGCCTCCAAGCAGTACCGTGAGCATTACTGCGTTCCGGTTTTAAAAGATAATATTGCTATGCTTGTGAAATTACAGGCACATGAAACTTATCAACCTATGTGTCTCAGGGTGACGGGCGCAGTGGCAGTGCCCCTCAGATCTATGTGTTTTAAAGCTCGAGTGGCACTGCAACTGTTTTCGACAGGCGTGTCGATTACCATTAGGCACACGACTTGTTCGTCCCGTCAAAAATAGCTACAAAACAATGATCTTATATACAAAAAAAGGCAAATGTGTTAGTAAACGTCTGCGTAGTGAAAATTCGGAAACCAGTCAATTAATCGATCTTGGATACGTTTACTGCGTTTCAGTTTTGAAGGGGAGTGCTGGTAGTTTGTAACTTTAAAGCTGCGATATCTGTTATGGACAGGAGTGTCGATTACAAACAGGAGCACGATAATACAGTTTGAGAAACAATAATAAATCAAAAATTATCACAGCCGTGCTGTAAAATACTAATTGGACGACGAGAGTGAGTTTATAAACCCAGCTAAGTGTGATATCTTTTAAATGGGTCCACCAATGGCCATTTACGTCGAGGTAAATTC